GTATTGTTTAATGACTTTCACTTATTCTTATTAGATTATTGCCTAAATGCAATTCATTAAGTTTAACAATTATTAAAACTTCATTTGATTCTCAAAGTGCCAGCAAACCTCTCCTTTCTTAAAGCTACAGTATTGATACTTTAAAGATTCTCCGTTGAGGGGCGGCGCCTGACTTCCGGTGCGGATGGCTGCTCTCTGCTAGAGCTCCGTACCGGCAGGCGCAACATTAGCATTTACCGGCACGTATACCCGACGAACGGGCAGCACACCCGGTCCCCAGCATCCCGGCCACGGCACTCCACCGACCCGACATGGGAGGGGGGCGCAAGACTAAACATGGCGCGGAGGTAGCGCCAATCTTTCGCGCCCGCAGGGAGGAGAGCTCACGTGGGGAAGATGGCCGCGAGGAGGACTCAGATTCGGCGGCAAGTGACACCAGCCGCACGGCAGCCGCAGCACCACTTACAAAAGCTGACCTCAGACACCTGCTGCAGGAGATCAAAACCAACATGGCTGCAGAGTTTTCCAGACACCTGACTCCCATCACTGAAAGCCTAAATGACCTCACACGCAGAACTACTGCCATTGAAGACCAGCTGGACCGCACCTCCATGCAGGCACAGACAAACGAACCCGCCATCTCAGCACTACAAGACCAGGTACGCCTGCTGGAGGAGGCCCAAGAGGACCTCAACAACCGTTCCCGCCGCAACAATATACGAATTCGCGGGGTGCCAGAGACGGTTGGAATAGACATGCTGGCCCCCACTTTGAGAGAGCTTTTCTGCAGCCTACTCCCAGAGGCCTCACCGGCTGAGCTCCTACTAGACAGAGCCCACAGGGCCCTTAAAGCACCCCTCCCGAACGCAACCCAGCCCAGGGACATCATCATCCGCATGCACTATTTCCATATAAAAGAAGCGCTTATGAGAGCGGCGAGAGATAACCCACTCCAAATAGAGGGGCATCAAGTCTGCTTTTATCAAGACTTAGCTCCAAGCACGCTACGCAAGAGAAGGGAACTCAGACCCCTAACCTTGGAGCTGGCCAGGAGACACATAAGATACACATGGGGCCACCCCTTCAAGCTACAAGTGAGACAAAACAACCGGGTACACACTCTGTACCATATCTCCGAAGCCACAGCATTCGCGGAACGCCTGGGCCTTCCGGCCATCGACCTCACTGCCGAACATCCTGATAGACGCCCAGCAGGAAGACTTTCTCCAAGGGGCCCGACACTACACCCGACAAGGGCTCCACCTCCCAGCAGCCCTCACCCTCAACCGGCCACCTAAAGACGTACAGATGACCGCACCACTACGACATGGACCGTCACCCTCCACACGACCCTCACCGATTCCACGCCGCCAGGACAACCGCAAACACACCTCACAGACTACCGGACCCACGGCATCGCACGCCAGGAGAACACGAACTATCTGACCACAGGTCGCCCGGAACCAGATAAGCTATGACTCTACCCTAAACAGGACTAATTATGTGGCAACCTTACGTTGCATGTTTTAACTCTAAGCTTTAGCCCTACATTTACAGCCAAATATGGCATGGGAAATCACGTGGGGGGAGGGGGGATAAAACAGGGGGGGGGAGGAGGAGGGAGGGAAAACACAAAGAAAACACGGGGAAAAAAACAAAAACAACAAAAAAAAAACCAAAAAAAAACACCACACACGCACCACCGGGACCCCCGGGCCCAGCCGCTAGTGATCCTACCACTAGACCCCCAGATGAACCCACTTCAGCTGGCCACAGAAACCATGGGACCCCGCTAATCTTACACTCCCCAAAGGAGCCAAACACAAACTACTGCCCCCACAGGGGACACAGGCTGCCAACCCCGTTTCTGGACATCAAAGCGGGGGGGGGGACACTAGACAGATAGTGGGAAACACGCCCAGTTGACCCCGGCAACTGACATCTGCCTGTAGGCAGACACCCCGGGAACCCATACAAGCAGAGCCCCCCAGACAACATAGCACACAGACGGAATCGGGCCCTTCCCTGGGGAGCCAGTGAACCCCACACCCTCCCACCACACTAAAGTCCCTAGGCCCCAGCCATATGGAAAGCACCCCATCGGGAAAGATGCGCAAGAA